CCAAATTTCACCAACACACATCGCGACAAAACTTACGTTATCATCCATATCATTTGGATGCTTGGTGGTTCACTACCGTGCGATTTATTAGGAGTTTTCGATACGACTTAGGGAACTTCAAGAAACGAGCTTACTCCTTTTTAAAAGGCCGGCAACACATCTGCTATTCTCCTGGTGTTGTAGCATTACATATATTAAAATTTTAAAAAGAAGGCTTTCTTGTTGACTGGTTGTACTGGCTGACAGACGTTTCACATTAAAATCAGCGGACGTGTGCTCCGGCATAGGCTCACCCGATTTATTTATTGGTATGGGTACAGTATCGTTTACTGTTTCACCTCATTCAATGTTGTGGATGATTAAATCTGCATCTTGTATAATATTTTCGATAGCACCATTCGAGAAACCTTGTGAATCACTAACTCATTTGGTGACGTTACTGGATGACAGAGGACGCTTATTACAATATTGATAAATATTCTAGAACAATCTACCAGAAATAATGTAATTTACAAATTTTGGCGTAAATATACATTATACTTACGATAATAAATCGAAATCACATTCAGTTTTTACTTCTTAGCGGGACTTACAATATCTTAATGCATTATCGGGCATATTTTTTTAAATATTTTTTTAAATTTAGGAAACGAACGCGTCTTGAGCTTTGACGATGTCACTAATACTAAATGACACAAATCCGGAATATATCCTATAGGACTACTACTTAAATGTCTTTGGTGAGCAGTTATGACTGTTTCATGATTTTGTAATTTTATAAGGTTATATATTGCATAGTGCTATTAATTTATCTTTCTTTCGTGTGTTCAATATCTTTACTCCATGTAATCTTTCGTCCAGCCAAAATCCCTAAAATTTTGTATGTTCTTTTTCGTTTATAATTTTAGTTTTATAGTGAATATTAAGTTTTATTGTTTTGTCCTTTGTTTTAATTATTAATTTTAAGATTATTGTCATTTAGACAGCTTATTATCCATCATAAATTTTGATTTATATCCATTTCTAATGATACATTTTTGTACCTGGTAGAGCCATGCTGCAGCTATGTTAGTAGTATAGTTGTAGCACGAATGGGTCGGCTCGATCGGGGAAGGACCACGGTCTCACAGAATACCAGCGTAAAATGGCAGCTTGACACTGCTGTGTTTCGTATAGTGAGAAATAGAGACCCATTTTACGGGAAAAGAGGCATTCCATCTTAGTTCTCACGGGTGATGACGCATCTGCATTTTGATTCTTTCTTGAAGATAAATGTAGATGTCTATGGGTCACAGCAACCACTTACCATCAGGTGGACTGTGTGCTCGTTTGTCATCCTATCCTATAAAAAAACATTATCTTGTTCAGTGAACAAGACTGTGTTGTCAACAGAAAATAAGGTCATAGTGTGCTGGTTCACCTGGGGCAAATCATTTATATAGACTAGGAATACTCGTAGTAAAATAGTAAAGGACCGAGTATGCTTCCTTGCGGCACACCATAGGTTGTTTGCTTTCGTTGCGAAAGGTATGTTAATTTAATATTAGTATCTGGACAGATCTTTTTTAATTTTAGTAATTTGATTTCTATCATTCAGGTATGATGTAATGAGTTTTAACATATTACCTCGGATTCCATATTTTTCCAGTTTAAGCGCTAGAATATTTAAATCAACGTAATCAAACACCTTAGTCATATCCATGAATAAAGCGGTTATCGGTGTTTGATTATCTATACCAATGATCACTTTTTCCATAAACCCATACATGGCCATATTTAGTTATTCTGTTTTCACATTTTCTAAAGCCATATTTTTCCTTTGCTAAGATGTTATTACTTTCTAAATAAGAATATTATTTGCGACGGTAATGTTTATTAATTACAAAATTATTGACACTTTTACAGATTTACGTCTGTCCGATAAAATACTGAAAGATAAAAGGCTTGTGGTAAAAATTTAGTTTTTGTCTACTTTTAAGATTTAGCAAATTAGCCCGGAACACACTACTAAAGATGCTCATAGAGGGGACTATACCATTGTTACCACACATGGCAGGCAAGTGGGCAACCGCAGTTTTTTTATTAGATGTTTTCCATTGTTATCAGGATGATGCTGCTACCCATCTCCTGTTTCAGTTTCAGTTAGTCGCCGCTTACGACACCCATGGATTGATGAGGTAGTGGATAACCTTACACTGCCACTCCACGACAGGTCCGGCAATAAGACAATTTATAAAAATAGCAAAAATAGATTGTTAGTAATTAAACGTTAAAAATATACAATATTATTTATATAAAGAGAGATGGCGCTATTATCAACAGTGCTAAAAATAAAAATAAACTTTCTATATATTCTATATACTATATAATATTCTTTAGTAAAACTCTCACCGATTCGGATGGGATTTTTACTGGCAGATAGCTGATGTTATATTAAGGAGTAACTTAGGCTGCTTTTATTTTAGAGTTCCGCACAAAAAAATTCCACGCGGGTGAAGTCGCGGGGCACAGCTAGTACAATATATAAAATAACTTTTATATCAGGAGGATAGTGACAGGTTCCCGATAATTGACAGCATAGGGAATTTAATCTCATTATCAAATTTATAGATTATTAATGGACGGAGAAACGTGGTAGCTCAGAAAACAAGCGCGCACATATTACGCGAAAAACTTAAATTCGATCGATTGGCCGAAACTGACGAAATTGTTATTAGCACTTTTAAAATTGGATGATTATAACGTTATGTAAAATATTACATGATGTTTTTACGATAAATATGCTACAAGAAATATTCAATTAAGTTTTAATAGCTTTAAGAGTTATTCCGCTTATAAGTAATATAAAGACCAGCAGCACTTGAATGAAAATACATCTACAGAAAAGAAAAACACAACACGCGTAATTTGTATATTTGCACGATATCATCTATCGATGGCACTGATTTTCTTCGTGCGAGCAGCTACCTATGCATGTCTAGAAAGACCAGTATCACTGCAACCTATAAGATCGATTGTGATCGCTGCTATGGCTATAGTTCACTGCTAAGCCCTATGTTTTCAATTAATTGAAGAAGTTGTTTAACTGTGAGCAATTTCACTTCTTCTGAGCTAACTACATAGTTTCCTAGATGAATGTTACGTTTGCTCATTAAAGGTCCACAATCAATTAGGATGTGCCGAAGTTTTTCTTCCGTTAAGGGACAGAATCGGCACATCCTTGAGTTTCTTAGTCCCAGGATTGACACTGGTTAAGTATTGTTGTACTTTTTTTAACAAAGTATACCATCTTTACATTAATCTTTACATGAAAACATATTAAATTTTTTGTTTACTGTGTAGGTATTAGTTTATCATTGGAGAACAATAATTAATGTAATTTAATTACGATTTCAGATATTACATTAAAATATATTTAATGACTCGACGCTACCACTGAACTAATTCGTTAGTAGTGTACTTCTAAATAGTAATTATAAATTTTGATAAAATGAACCGATTTAAATAAAACAAAGAGACATGTAACTCAAAGATACGCATCATTATTTTCTTAACGGTTCTTAAATATAAATAGTACTTTAGACGTTATCGACTCATCACGTTCATAAACAAACAGACAGACAGATAGTTCTAAAAATGATTGAAAGGTATTTATTTATTTTTTACTTGTTTTTAGTCCGTTTCAATAATTTTTGTCACACAAATATACGATGATTAGTACAAACACCTGCACAAACTTACATTTTTATAAAAATGTAAAAATGCATATTGTAAAAATGCATAAATATGTTTAAGACAACTAACTTTATGTAATAAGGCCGAAAATGTTTTAATATTCGCGTAATGGTTTGTAACAAATACGTATTACGGTAATTAAAATAGTCATCAAAGCATTCGGTATACTTATGATGCTATTTTACGATCAAACACTAATGGGTATTATACGAGTCAAAATGTTAATGAGTCTTGCCTTCTATAAGCATTCAGATGAAATTAATTAGTATTGAATTAATTAATACCACGCATTCAAACAAAAGAGCTTCAAAACAAGAGAGTCCTGGTGCCTCAGGTGCTCAGCCCTCGCTGTAAATTTCACGTACGCGAGCAACGCGGGTTCGATCCCCGCTGGCACCAATTAAATTGTTAATTGCATTTTTAAGTGCTGATTTACCACGTGCTTGGTGGTAAAGAAAACATCGTGCGGAAACTTGCATGTCTGAGAAATCAGAAAAAGAAGACAATATTTCGACACTTCCTTTCACTAAAAACCCTCTCAGAAATTAGGGGAGGCCTGTGCCCAGCTGTGGGACGTATATAGGTTGTATAACAAAATAAGTTCGCCACCGTGTATTTTAGCGAACAGACTATATCTGAGTTGGGAATCGAACCAAGTAAAAATGCATAAAATAGACAATCTCCATTTTATTCAACTGATCGAAAGGGTCTAATCGAAAGTCTAATGATAAGGATAAAATCTCGTCAATAAACATAGCATTTGTAAATTATCTTAAAATTATAAAAGAACCTGAAATCCTAACTTCGACTGTTCATTTTTGAAAGTTAAATAACCTTTTATCATTTTTTTAAAACTAGTACCTACCTTGAAAAAAAATGTATGAAGTTTAATCAATCAATGCGTGTTGGCGACAACACGCATTAGGGAAGCGCGGCGAACATTTCTTTGGCCTAAAACTCTCTCAGAAATGCGAAGAGGCCTGTGCCCAGCAGTGGGACGTATATAGGCTGTAACTTTTATTCAAACCAAACGGGTTGTTTCGTTGTTCATAATCCGAGCAGCAATGGAGTGGAATAATTAGTCAGCATCTATCTTTTCATCCGATTTAAATGTGGGTGCCTTCAAAGGTTTCTTAATAGGTTATTAAGCTAAGTTAGTGGGCTTTTTCATCTTCGGTTACATCATCACTTACCATCAGGTGGGACAGTAGTCAAAAATATGTTTACAAAAGGTAAAACAGTTTTAGATATGTTGATATGCTTACCTTTATCACTGTAGAATTCTTCCAGGTTCTTCTTTCTCTCCGCCCACATAAGATAAGCAAACGCCTGGTCGGGTATGGTGGCAACGCAGAAGCCCTGAAGTGTCGGTACACCATTCTTCGTGAAGTCGTTTAGTCTCTTAATTAACTCATAGTTGGCCTAAAATCATATAAATATTTAGTAAGATATATTTAAAAACTATAATTAAAAACCGTATATTTCGCAATGACACTTATTTTGCGTACCAAAATCAATTTAATGTCAACATTAAAAAGTTAAATACTTTCTAAATAAACCCCATATATACCATGAAATACGCTTTTCTAATTATAAACATAAAACCTATAATATACACTACAGAATAAACAAGAACGTTTTAATGTGAAGTAATTAGTTCCGTTCAATTAGGAAGTAATAGCATATACTCGTGGAATTCAGTTCACAACCACAAAATGTTCAATAATATCGTATTCAAGCACATAGAACGCAACATCAAATACAGGTAAATTCAAGCTTATTATTCAATAGTTGCGGTCAGTCCATTGAATCCTAATACAAATACTAAAATCATGTTTAAAGGATATAATTAATTTTAATAATTGTTTAAAGCAAAAACAGTTAGTGGTTTTTTTTCGACATTACTAAGGGTGCAGGATTTAACAAATGACGAACTTGCAGCATGCACTTACAATACAATTTCTACTTCAAGCAGTATACTCCACACTTGAATAAAGGAGAGTAGCAAATCGTGTAACCATAAATACCATAATTATCGATGATTAATAAAACTTGTTAATAAATTCTACCATTAATTACTATAGTGATCAGTATCCGGATTCTAGCTCATGTTGCTTTTTATTTATACAATCCACATATTATTGCAGATTTGAGCCAATTGTAATACACATAGTATTGCTCATGTTTGAGTATTTGTCGAAGTGTATTTCAATCCTTTCTTAGATCCTTTCTTAGATATTATGTGTCTGATATGAGGATGTGACAATAAGGATGAACCCCTATATTTGCACGTGTCCCTTTTATTATATAGAGTATAATATTTAGTTGTTGACAAATTCCAAAAATCGAGTCTTAAGGCGATTGTTGAGTGGCATATTATGTGAACGCGTATAAGTTATTTACTAATAGACTGCTACCAATTGTTTACTAAGCGTACATTATCTTAAAGTAGCAAAAGAATAAAGAGAGATACGGATAGATAAGATAGTGAAGGAGTTGGGGTGGGGAAGGATAGAATAAGTGATGGCGCAAGGACGGGAACGTAACCCTTAGATACTTTTAATATTCACTCACAATATGCTAATAATAACAATTTCTTTAAGTCAGACAACAGTGTGGTCCATAGAATTGTTAGTAAGCATCTTAACCTATGTTAGTAACATTTGGTTTTAATATTCTTAATATTTCAGAATCAATTAGAAAAATTCAATCCATTTTGCAAGCGATGGCCGACAGGACACTGTATAAGCCGGCTCAAACCAGACCCATAAGGGATTTTCAATATATATCCCATCGTTTGCATATTGCGTATTGAGTGCGATAAAGTTGCCAGTGTGCACTATCCTGCCCTAAAAACATGTATGCAGTGTAAAGTCGTCTAAGTAGTTTCCTTTAGCTTAATTTGATCATCCTTACAACAGCCGTTCACAAGTTCGAGAATAATTTTAAAAAAAAAAGCAGTCTTGCGTCAACTGCATCCATTGTTTTCCTGTATGTCAACAATAGCAGAGGTGTAAGACAGGGTGACGTTATATCGTCAAAAATCTTTAACGCTGCATAAGAAGACGTTTTCAATATAAGAGACTGGAAAGGATACGTTATAAATATCAATAACGAGTACATCTCACTTTGGATTAGCCGATGACAGAGCCCTTATGGCAGAATCGCTGGAGGATCAAAGTCTACCACTTTGATCCTCCAGCGAACCACTGCATTGGAGGACGTTTATAAACTTCTGGACTAGAAAGTATACGGTATACAACAATGTAATTATGGCATAATTCATCGATCCATCCATTCATTACAGCCTATAAAAGTTCACTGCCAAACTTAGATAGCCTTGGATTGATTTTGCCATGGTATTGACATGCTTAGCAGGAGGCATAAATATAATATATTATACAGGCTGTTTGGAAGATGGGTGCAAAGCCTGAAGAGAATATACTTTAAACCATTCAGAACATATTGAACTAAACTTGTAATAGACGAAGTCTGCTCCTTTTTTAAATTGAATTTCTAAGGTTTTTAACAATAAAACCCATTTTTTTCAATTAATTTCTAATAATGTCCAGTAACAGATGTAAGGAATGCTTCGCTGGTTTGGTCATGTAGAAAGAATGGACGAGGAAAGAGTGACAAAGCAAATTTATATAGCAGAAGGGAACGGCAAGGTCGGGAAGGGGCACCCTAGACGAAAGTTTATCGACCAAATCGGCGATACATTAAAATGGGCCAGATTAGGAGTACCCTTAACCGACGAGCGTGTATGCGTAGATATATGGATGTAAAGGAGGTGAGAGAGGTGTGTCAGAATCGCGCCAAATGGAAGTCCGTAGTCTCTGCCTACCCCTCTGGGTGACAGCCGTGAGTGTTTGTGTTTTTTGTGTTTAACAGTTGTTATGTTATTATTTTTTAATTATTTTTATTAATGTAATGTGTGACACTCATACTATAACTATACTCATAGAATACCAGCGTAAAATAGCAGTTTAACATTGCTGTGTTTCGTATGGTGAGTGTAGAGAACCAGAAACCCTTTTTACTGGAAAAGAGGCATTCCATCTTAGTCCTCACTGCATTTTGATTCTTTATTGAGGATAAATGTAGATGTTTATGGGCCACAGCAACCATTTACCATCAGGTGGACTGTGTGCTCGTTTGTCACTAGATCCTATAAAAAACTTTAACATTATGAAATCAAAAAAAAACGTTTGAGGAAATGTTGTGTTTATGCCATCATAAAAAATAAATATAATAGCTTTTGTTGTTCAAACCTTTTTAAAAATATTCTTAGTTATTACCCTTTCTTTTGAGTTTCATCAACTCTTGAAATTAAGGTGTACAAAGCAAATTGCGAACGAATATTTTTATTTTATTCGGACCAAAATAATGTACCATTTTTGTTAATGCACTATTGTTTTCGTTAGAACTGATTAGTTTTAGAATTACGGTGCACGTGCACGGATTAACTTCCGGGAAGTCGTTTAGTAAAATCCGCCGCGCGACCTGTAACAAACTTCATCATTGCCATCAACTATGGCTGCTTTTACTAATGAAGACGAGCAGCTTAATATGTTCTAAATGGTTTAAGGTATTATCCTCTTCAGGTTTTGCACCCATCTTCCAAACAACCTGTATATGTCGGCATGTCTACAAAATACTGGCTATATACTCTCGCGTTGCGTTTTTTTTGTAACGTGGCAACCGATGTTGTTTATAGGATTTTTGAAGAAAACGTCTTTGGAGAGCGTACCATATATTTGAGACTAATCAACGATCTGCTTATTGTTATAGAACTATAAAATTAGAACGTTTCATATACCAAAAAGTATCTACATTAATGTATTATCATGAAAAGCAACTTATATTTTACTTATTACTCTACGAGTAGTTGTAGTTAAGTTACAGATAAAAAATACTGAGCGATTTATATAAAATAAAATAAAAAAATCTGATATCATAAAGAGTGCTCTTCTGTTGTATCAATGTTTTTGTAATCACATATACGATAAGACCATAATAGCAAAAATACGGAAAAGAGTCAATAGAATTATAATTTAGCTAAATGATGACAGAAGTATTAATTTCTATTTTAATCTGTATATTATAAAGAAACTATCCAATTTTAGTAAAAGCAATTAATTGCATCGCTTTTGAGCTTTGTAGAGAGCTTAAAGGTATGAACTAATGGAATACTCGACGAAAAGACAATATATGGGTACAATGCGAAGTTACGATGCTATTTGTTACATCAAAGGAGCTTTGTTTGATTACAAAAGTTCAACTTTTCTTTCGGAGAAAATAAAGACATTTTAATCTATTTCAAATGCAAATTAGCCCAATATTTATAAAAATACTACATTCAAATAAGATTCTAGTAGGACTCATCAAAGCTAACAGTTAATATAATATAATATAACATAATAAATGAAAAACAAAAGCCAGTTTTTTTAAATTGTTCTAAAAAATGTGACTCCTTTCCACTAAGCTCTTTCTACTGAAGATACGTCGAAGGAAATTTCAGATATAAAATTATATTATTATTTCAAGGCACTTAATTTGTTAAGTCTCAGTAATATTCTTGATGTAAGTGGATTATATCTATCTATCATCATCATCATTACAGACCTTCAAAAGACCACTGCTGAAATTAGGCCTCCCCCAAGGAATGCCACAAAGCACGGTCCTGAGTAGTTTTGCCCAAATGCAAGCACAAGACGTGACTTAGCAAGTCTTGGTCTTGGTCTTGCGCCAATACACCTGGTCTTGGTCTTGGTATTGTGCTCCTAGTCTTGGTCTTGGTCTCTATCTTGCAGCAAGAGTCTCGCAAGTCTCGCAATTACCTATTAGCCTATTACTATTTATTAAACGTTACTTTAGATCTTAGAACAACTTAACAGAACAGGTACATTTTGAGCTTTAATTAACATAGCCCTATGGCCTAAAGGCCAACAAATTAATAAATGTCTAAACATTTATCCGACCATTGATGACGCCGACAACAAGACGCCGCGCACTATCAAAGTACCGATGGTCAAAACTAGGGATGCACTCTTTTTTCTTTTAATGGATATTTTCATTCGCTATGTATGTTTATGGTGTTCGTAATGTGCATAAGTCCAATTTTCCATTTTTTTGCATCTCATAGAGTCCGTAAGCGAATACCCGAACTACTATACTCCCTGAAACAACACTCAGTCTTAATTGCAAGACGCAAGAGTCTCGCAAGCTTAGTCTTGTTCTTGCGCAAATCATGCACGGGCAGTCTTGGTCTTGGTCTTGCTAAAATAGGCGGTCTTATTCTTGGTCTTGGTCTTACAAAAATGCAAGAACAAGACCAAGACTGCAAGACCAAAACCGATTTTGGGCAACACTAGTCTTGAGCCACTTGCATCCAGCGACTTCCTGCATGTCTTACCAGG